TTTTCTATTCAAAAGGTATCCTCATATATCGAGAGTCACCAACACCGCTTTGCCTCTGAGACTCTGATCCTGAAAGGCTGGAGACGGATTCTTCATGTCTGGGTAACGGGGCATTAAAGCAGCGTGTTGAGCAGCGATCTTCTGAGGGGAAATCGGCTGTGAATCAATCTTGATGAAGAAGGTAAAGAGATCTAATGTGTACAAGAAGAAAGACGGGTTTGCATTGGTCAGTGTGCGATTTCAGTTGCCTAATGCACCGCGGTGTAAAATGAGTAGTCAATTTCATTGGGAGAGTTTCTTTCGATGTTAGGCATGAAGTTTTACTCAACAAAGTGGAATTAAAACCGTTGTGCAGATGCAAGGAATTAGTGCCATTATGCTCGATCAGAATTCAAGCCACTTCTGAGGTTGTGCAAGAGATGGTGGTGGGGGGGGAGGAACAACCAGTGAGAGCAATCAGGAAGAACCAGTGAGAACAACGAAAGAAGTTACGAAATTGATATAACCAAAGCTTCCAGGCGGTGGACTATGTGCCTGAGAATTCGCACAATTGTCGATGATGTCAAAAATATCGAAGAAAAGTGTACAAAAACGTTGGGATAAAAAATGTAACAATTATTGTTCCAAATCCTTTAAAAAGTTCTTTCAGGGTTGCTCGCAGTCCTTTGCACAAAGGTAAGATATCAAAGTATTTAATATTTAATATTTAAATTTGTCTGGAAAACGATCCACTTAAATTCCATCCCCTTAAAAAAGATCAAGCCTCCCTAGTGCCTCCCAGCCCCGTGTGGGAAAGATAATGGTGATTTTGTTTCACGTAATCACAGGATTCACTTTTGCGTTCCTCTTGATGTTTAACATCTGACTCGAATATAAGCCCCCGTGGAGAATAGCCAGAGCCCAAGTTATATCAGGCTTAACAGAAGGATGTTTCCTTCATAGTTTCGTTGAACAATCCCAAAGGAACCGATGCACTGTACATGAGGTTTCGCAAATTAAAAAATTCAGGCGTGCAGGATTGCGAGCGCCAAGCCATGAGCTAACGCAAAACCAGCATGTGTTCTTATTTTGCTTTCCTGACTAGAGTCCCACCGAGTAACGTCCCGAGGAATGATCTGAATCCACTAGGATCCCGATAGTACAAAGTTGGAGTAATTCCATATGATAGGTACTGATTATCTTACGATTGTGCGCTGGTTACCAGGACATCGATCTTTCATCAACCCCAGAGGTTTGGGTTCCACCATCAAACACTACTATAGTTCATTTCTCTCTCTTTTGTTTTTCTATTCAAAACACAAAAAAGCTGAGTTAATGGTAGTTGACGATTGTCATAGTAGACTAAGAAGAGGGAAAGAAATGAGGAAGGGAGAACAACGATTCCTTCTATCCTATCCCCGTCCCTACCAACAATGGAACCCGTGATCGGCCTCACAAATAGGTCTAGAGTGGATTCAAGAAGAGAGAGACAAGAAGGAAAAGATGTTGAGATGCCTGTGACATGTCATTACTCATCTCATGTTCATGTTTGTTAGTGTGCTTTACTCTGATTTCATTTCCCTCATGTCACACTCTGTGACACTTAGTTGTTTTCTTTCAGCTCTTATACTGGAGCCATATGTGTTCGGGATGATCTTCTTTTTCCTCATCCTTTCCAACTCATATGTCTCCAGGTATGTCTCTTTTCTCTTTTTTCTCTTATGTTGAAATGTTATCCTTTCCAACTCATATGTCTCCAGTCTCCAAGGGTGTTCATTCCAACAAAAGAAATGGTAATGATCATCAGTCTGAGGAAAGACGGAGCAATTTTTTATAAAGAACGGATATTTACACGTCGTAGTGGGTACCTGGGGTCAGTTGCCCGGATGGGATGTGCTGAACAGTACGATCAGACGAGGCTATTGGTGCACCTCCTGGAGGTGACCTTACGACATGCATTGAAGCAGTGTGCTGACCAGCGATCTTCTGAGGGGACACCGGCCGACAATCAACCCACATCAAAAACCCGAAGAGATCTAAAATTTTACCAGCAGAAAGACGGTTGTCATATTGGTCAGTGTGCGAATTGGGGTCTCTTCTACTCGCCTATATCAGGAATAAAG